AACCAAGCACACTCACATTCACACCTACAGACAATTTAGAATCACCAATTAACCTCAACATGTTTTTGGACCTTGTGGGAGGAAGCCAGAGAACCTGGAGAGAACCCACACTGCACAGAGAGGACATGTAAACTCCACACAAAAAGATCCAGGGTGTCCTTACCGGGACGCCAACCGGTGACCTTCTTGCTGTGAGGCAATGGTGCTAACCACCGTGCAGCCCTGAAGTCGGTTGTCTGTAGATGTCTTCATGTGCAAGACTTTAGGCAGTCTGTTGGAACTATATTAAGTTTCAAATTTACCTATTATTTTAATTCCAAATGACAAAGGTGAATGGGCCAGCACTGCCGTGCAGTGGTTAGCACGGTCGCCATTACAGCTAGAAGGTTCGCTTCCCGGCCTGGGGTCTTTCTGTGTGGAGTTTGCATGTTCTCCCTGTGCCTGCGTGGGTGTTCACCAGGTTTTCTGACTTCCTCCCACTGTCCAAAAACATGCTGAGGTCAATTGGTGATTCTCAATACGTGTGAATGTGAGTGTGCTTAATTGTCTGTCTCTCTGTGTGGGCCTGTGATAGCCTGATGACCTATCCAAGATGTACCATGCCTTTGCCCTAAGTCAGCTGGGATAGAATCCCCCGCAACCCTACACAGGATAAAGCAGTGTATAGATGATGGATGGATGGATAAACTACCTAAAGTAATCACAAACAAGACATGGTGGATATGAATGTTTATGGGGTCAAAACAGATATAGTGTAGTGTGCCACTGAAAAATAAAATTTGGCATTGACAAAGAAAACACTGGAAATTAAATATTTAAATGTAATACTTGAGTGGTGAAATTATGACATCCATTTTAGGGTCAAACTAGGAAAATACAATTTATGTTGCACTTGTACACTTATGCTCCTTGCAGTCCATCCATCCATTATCTATACACCGCTTAATCCTCACTAGGGTCGCGGGGGGGCTGGAGCCTATCCCGGCTGACTTAGGGCGAAGGCAGGGGACACCCTGCTACTTACAGTCAGGTTTACAAATATTTTAGCACTGACACAATTGTCAGCATTTCAGCTCTGTACACAACAATGGATTTGAAATGAAACAATCAAGATGTGCTTTAAGTGCAGACTTTCAGCATTAATTTGAGGTTATTTTCATCCAAATCAGGTGAACGGTGTAGGAATTACAACACATTTTATATGTGCCAACTACCTGTAGGGTTTTAGTGTGGTAGAAAATAAGATGTACTTATTTCCACACACTAAAGCAAATGATTGCATTAATTACAATTATTAAAACCAACCTTTGAATTATTCGTCCAGCGATATAATTTCAGAGTCAGCATAATAATTCTAATAAATTGTTTACTCTTGGTGCTCAGTCAAGAGTGTTTG